CGCCCGCCCGCCCGCCCGCCCGCCCGCCCGCCCGCCCGCCCGCCAACTGGCCGAGGCGTGGATACGCCCAGCGAGGATTGTCGCCGGCTAGTCTGCGCGGCCTCATCGTCGCCCGCCCCGTCAGCAAGTCCCTGACTCAGCCGAGTGGCCGCTCCGCCGCATGCGCCTGCTACCTGCCCTGATGGACGAGTGCTTCCCGCCTGTTTCCCTTCCTCCCTCCCTCCCTCCCCTTGCGCCTCCTTTCCTCCCTCCCCCCGCCCATTGCTCCCTTGCAGCCCCCCCTCCTCCTCCCCATCCTTCCGTACCACCACATACCCGAGATCTCGCCTCCTCCCCCTTTCCCCTCGCTCCGCCCAACTGTCCCTGGCGGCTCGGCGTACTCGCCGCTCGTCTCCCGCGGCCCTCGGAGCACCGCTCGCGTCTAGTACGCGTGCCCCAGACACCCTCCCTCCTCCTCGCTCTCCTCCTCGCTCTCCTCCTCGCTCTCCTCCTCCTTCTCCTCCTCCCGCCTGGACCGTCGTCCCACTCACACGAAGCCCCACAGGCCCACGCAAGGTTGACACCCCCCCTCTTCTCTGGCAGCAGCACGGCCGTCTAGATTGGCCCCGGCCTGGTCAGTCAGCGTGCGCGCGTGCGATCCTTCCCCGTCTCGCTCTCTCCCTTCCCTCCCCCCTCCCCCCCCCCCGACATCCCTGGCTCTTTCCACCTCTTCTTCCTCCTTCGAAGGCAGCCGACACCATGTCGATGCCCTCCCCCTCGGCCTTCCTCCCGCCCTTCCCGCTGTACACGCCCTCCCCGCCGCCGAGTAGCTTCGTCCCGCCAATCCACCCCTCGGGCTTCAACCCGACCCAGCAGCAGCCCGGCCTCCCGGGCAATGGCAGCCTCCACTACCCCGGCCCTGGTGGGCATCTGGGCCTGAGCGGCACGCCAGGCGGCCCCAACAGCGCTCACCTTCATCCTTCGCAGCAGCAGCAGCAGCAGCAGCAGCAACCGCCGCAGCAGATGCCACCGACGGCACAGCATCCGCACCCTCCCCATCCACACCATCACGGGTATGGCGGCCCTGGTGGCGGCCCATCGCTCCCGGGCCCCGGGCAGGCCGGTGCCGGCGGCATGTCCTTCTCCTCGGGGAATTTGGTTTTCCCGTCGGCTCGGCGGGCCAGCTTTTCCGGCGCCGGCCCCTCCGGCATCAGCAACCAGCGGATGATGCGCGCGCCATTGATGTCCGCCTCCGTTGGCCATGGCACCGGGCCGGGCGGCACCGGCAACAGTGGCGGCGGCAGCGGCGGCAGCGGCGGCGGTCCCTCCGGCGGTGGAGCCGGCTCCTCCAGCCGGCCCCGCAGTCGCAGCGGCTCTCGCACCGCGGCCATCCCCATGGCCTCCTCCTCACCGACGCCGGCTTTTCGCGCGCGTTCCGGCAGTCTGTCCCTGGCCGCGGCGGCCGCCGCCAACTCCGACCCCTTCACCGGTGGCCCAAACTCCGCGCTGCCCACGCAGCTGTCCATGTTTAGCGGCGGCGGCGGTGGCGGCCGTCGGCCATCCCTTTCCGGCGGCGCCCAAAGCACCTTCCATGCGGCCGGCCTGGCGCTGAGTCCCCCGAATGCCGGGGACCATCCCCTTGCCGGTGGTCTTTCCCCAGGTGGGCCGCCCTTCCTGTCAGGCGCCGGCCCTAGCTCATACATCTTCTCCTCGCTCGGGGTGCCACCCCCCTCGGCCAGCACGGTTCCCGGGCCTTCGGGGCTCGCCTTTCACCATGCCCACCATCCTCACCATCCGACAGATGACCTGTTCGGCCCGAGCGGTCCCTACCTGACACACCCCCTCAATGGCGGCCATGCCGGCCATCCGCTTGGCGGGCATTACCACCACCTACTTGGGCATCACCACATGCACATGTCGGCTCCGGCTACCGATCCGGCCACCCTGGCTCGGCTCGGGGCCGGCACCGCCGGCCAACAGCAGCAGCATCCCCCCTCACAAAGCAGCCCATTGACCTCGTCAATGTCCATCTCTCGGCCGGCCACCCCTCCATCGCCCCTGGCGGCCGATGGAGGCAGTGCAGCCCCGGCGGCGATGGCCCTCCTCCCCACAGCCGCTGGTGCTCTTTCCAAAAACGAGGACGTCCTGGCGCCTGGCCACGGCTCGTCCTCCCCGGCCGGCAGCGGCAGCGGCAGCGGCACCTCCACCCCCACCGCCGATGCCGATGGCAACCAGTATTTCGATGCGGTGGCCAGTGAGGCAGTGCGTGCACAGCTGACCGAGCTGGACAACTTCCTCTCGCAGCAGGCCCTTGAGCGCCTGCGCATCCCCTTCGGCCCCGGGTCTCTTGTGCGTTCCGCTACTCCCCCCCCCCTCCTCTCTCTCTCTCTCTCTCTTCCTCCTCTCCTGTCACGCGCGCTGTCCAGAGATCCATCAGCACTTCCAGTGTGTATATGTTGCCGCCTAACCCGCCCTCAATTCCCCTTGCTCTTTGTGCCTCCTGCCCCTTCTTTCCCCCTCCCCCTGTCCAGTATCGTGCCGTATCGGCTCAGGTAAGTTGTATCTGCACTCGCGCCCATGCTTCCCTTTCCGGTGTAGTTGCTTCCTCGCCTTGCCTGTGCTCCTCCTGACCTACTCATCCATCCCTCTTCCCCTCCTCCGGCTCCCAAAAAAAAACCCCAGCTTGACATCCCGGTTGACCAGATCCAGGCCAGTGTCATCAGCCACCTTCGTGAGCAGGCTGACACGTATGTGCGCCTTTTGGCCGACAAGCTGGCTGACCTCCCAGCCGAAGAGCCGGATGCCCAGACCGAGGAGACCCCCTCCTCGAAGGGCAGCCCGAGCCCCATCGACGCGCGCCTCCTCCTGGATACCTTCATCGAGCAGCTTGCCCAAAATCGCGTCCCTCACACCACGCAGATTGAGCTGGACATCATCTCCGAACTCTACAGGTGTGTCATCTGCCACCGCTGCCACATCCCCTTCCCCCTTCGATTGTCTGACCATCAACAATGTGCCCCCCGGTTCAGCCGCGACATCGTCACCTACGTCGGTCCGCGCACGCCGATCATCCTCACCTCGGGCAACCACCCGCATTGCCTCTACCTCTGTTCCCTGAACGAGGGCCAGCACTATGACAGTGTGCAAGTCAAGCGTCGGCCGGCCCCCGGCGCGGATGCCAGCGTCGTCACTGGCGGCACATCATCCATCTCCGCCTCGCCCAGCCCTTCGCCGGCCGCGGCCGATGTCCAGCCGTCGCCACCGGCCGACAGCGGTCCCGGAATGACCCCGCCGCCGGAGCATTCGCCCCCGGCCAGCGGTCACCATGATGACCCGTCTCCCCTGTCGGACTCCTTTGCGGCGGACTTGAACGAAGCACACGCGGCCCAGCATCATGAAGTCCAGATGCATAAGCTCATGCGGAATGTTGTCTGGCAAACTGGCCGCCGAGCCAGCGAGCCGAACGTCCTTTTCTCGGGCTGGCGCTCGGGACAGGGACGCGTTGGTGTTGGCGCCAGTGCTGGACCTGGTAGTCGTCAGCAATTGCCCGAGTGGACCACCCTCGAGGAGGCTGACGAAGAGGACCAGGACGAGGAGGAGGGCCACGAGCAGCAGGAGCAGGACGCGACCAACTCGGAGGAGGCCAAGGCCGAGGATACTGCCTCCTCGATTGCCTCCTCTCCCGGGCTGTCCTCTTCCCCGGGATCCGCGGCCACGATCGCCGGGTCTGCTGGCACGGCTGCAAGCAGTCTCGTCGATTCCGTCGGCCAGGCTCTCGAAGCCCCGGTCCTCAGCACGTCAGACATCAGTGATACTGAGGGTGCCCCGAAGGCCTCCGGAGGCGGCCTGGGCGATGATGACAATGGCCCTGTTGCCGCCGGTGCCACTGTCCTCATCACCGCCGACGCCTGTGCCACCTCCGGCTCCGTCGCCGCCGGTGCCACCTCGACCGACATCACCACCACGGCCGCGGCACAGGCTCTCCTCGAGCGTGTCATCACGGCTGGCCACATGCTGCCCAGCTTCAATGAGCCTTCCTATGTTGTGGCCAAGGGCGACAATCGTCGTGTCGGGCTGGTGAAGTTCTTCAACCTCTCCCGGGGCTATGGCTTCATTGTGCCTCTGACACTTGAGCAGCTGGAGCGTCGCCTTGAGTTGGCCCACACGGCTGCTCGCATCTTGGCCACCTCGTCTTTGGCCGCGGACAGCAGCACCACCACCCCCGGGCTTGGGGACGCTACTTCCGACATCCCGAGCGAGGGGTTCTCTCCGGCCTCGATCGCAGCGGTCCTGGCTACAACAACCTCCTCCGGATCGGCGGCTTCGGCCGCGCTGGCCGCCGTGGCATCGCTCATTTCCTCCGGAAACGCTGCTACCGCCCCGGCAACGGCCACATCGTCAGCCGACGAGTCACCCGCCGAGGACAGCGCCGCCTCGCCTTCCCCCTCCGGTGCGTATACCTTTGCCCACTTCTATCCTCTCCATTTTCATCTCTCTTCCATCTCCCAATCCTTCGCTCTCCCTCTTCCTCTCTCTCCCTCTCTCCCTCTCTCCCTCTCTCTCGCCCTACCCACTTTTACTTTCGCTGACGTGGTAATCTTCCCATGCATAGTCCCCTCCTCTGAAGAGGTACTTGCGCTGGCCGCCAGCAAAGGACTGGTCCTCAGCCCCTCGGATCTGGATCCAGTTCTGCTTCCCAGCGAGCCGGACCTCTTTGTCCACCACACGGCCATTTGTGGTCTGACCCTGTCCGGGCACAACACCCTGGCGGATGGTGAGCCGGTGGAGTATACGCGCCTTGTCGGCCCCAAGGGCCCACAGGCCACCAAGGTCACCGGCTTCCGCGGGTCGGTGCTTGTTGGCGGCGGTCCCCTGTCGTTGCTGGTGTCCTCGGCGTCGACTGCCCCCGGGAGTACTGGTGCCGCCGCCAGTGGCTCGGCCGCCGCTGCCACTGCCGCCTCGCGGCCCACCTCCCCCACCTCCACGCCGTCCGGTGTCGGTGGTCCGGCTGTTCCGTCAGGCACCGCGGGGATCGTCGCCAATCCGTCGAGCTCGAATGTCACCACGGACCCCCCTGGCGCAGCGACAGTTGACCAGCCAACCAAGCGCCCGGAGGTGATCTCCGGCGCCGACCAGACATCCCCCTCGACCGGGACCACCGCCACTGTTGCGAGTGTCGCATCGGCCGCTCGCACGACTGCCGCTGGTGCTGCTGGCACCGCCGCAACTGCCGCCATGCCGCCTGCCTCTGTCTCCAATGCCGGTGCAGCTGGCCATCGCCAAAAGAAGCCCAGCAGTAGCGGCCACACAGCCGGCAACGTGTCACTTGTCAACCGCAGTGGTTCGAGTGTCGCTGCTTCCACCGGCAATGGCGGCAGCAGCAGCAGCAGCAACACCCATGGAGGCGGTCGCTCAGCCTACACCCCTCACCCCTTGAATGGAGGCACCTTTGCCACGAGTTCCGCACATGAGGCGTCCTCCGATATGCCAGCTGCCCGATCGGTCGGCGGGGACGCCACGGAGGCGGTGTTGAAGGCTGCCGGCAGTGGCTCCTTCCATCCGCACCTTCCCCACTCCCCGCACGCGCAGCATCACATGTCCCACCCAGGGACGGCGCCCCCTTCGCCGGCTTATCACCATATGCCACAGCAAGCCGCCCAGCAGCCGTACCATCACCTTGCCTCACCGACGCAGTCATACCACCATGGGTCGATGGCCATGTCAACGGGTCAGCAACAATTGCATCATCATTCCGGTGCCCCAACTGCCGGGGCATATGCCATGTCCGCGATATTGTCTTCATCTAATGGCGGTGGCGGCGGCAGCAATTCGCCCACAGTCCACCATCCACACCAGCTGCACGCCTCTTCCTCCAATGGAGGCCCGTCACACCATATGCTATCCTCGTACCATCACCTCCAACACCACCATCAGCAGCACCCATACTACATCTCAGCCTCGTCTCAAATGCCCGGAGATGGCGGCCCACCTTCTCTGTCCGGGATGCACCATGGTCTTGCACATGTCGGAACGGCACCCGGCCCCATGGCCCCGAGCATGGAACACCACCATCCCAAACAGGCCACCGGTCTCGCGCAGCAGCAGCAGCAACAGCAGCACTACCATCATCCGCAGCAGATGTCACCTTCGGCAATGGATTTAAGTGATGCTGCCCGGCTGCACCTTCTGGCGGGTGCCGGCGCTGGCGCTGGCGCTGGAGGTGCTGGTGGCATGGCGTATGGCCATCACCATCCGGCGGCTGGAGGAATGCCCAGCCCATATCAGGCAGCCGGGGGGACCCCTGTCGGTGTGTTGCCCTTTGGCAGCCACCATTATGTGCAGCAGGGCGCCTCCATGGCGGGCGCGCCTCCGCCTCCTCCCTCGACGGCACAGCACCTTCACCACCCTCACCATCCTCCGCAACACCATGGGCATTATGTTGGCGGCCAGGTGTCGCCCATGCATCCGAATTCCGGCGGCGCGTCGCCCTTCTCACAGCAGCCACAGTACGCTGCCCTTGGCAATGCCGGCGTCGGCATCAACGGCGGGGGCTTTCATCATCACCACCACCATCCCTCGGGCGGGTATGCGCCCTCGATGTCCAGTGGCGGCAGTGGCGGTGGCGGCAGTGGCGGCGGCGGCGGCGGCAGCAGCAACGGCAATGTTGGCAGCGGGTCGGACCGTCGCAATGGCGGCCAGTCGTCGGGATCCTCCTCCGGCAATGGTCGTGGCTCTGGCCGCGGCGGTGGCCAAGCTTCAATGGGCGGCGGCGGCGGCGGCAGCAGCAGCGGTCATCACCACCATCACCACCATCATCACCACGGCAACAGTGGTGGCGGTGGCGGCAACAATGGCCATCATCAGGCCCATGCCCCCTCATCTGGCGGCGGTGGGTCTCGGCGCTCTCGGCGCCACTCTCCGCGCATTGTTCCTCCATCCGCCTCGGCAACTCTACAGTGATTTGTGTGCGTGCGCTGGGGTTCCATCACTTTCGGAAGGGGACGATGCCTCAACCTTGTGAGAAGCTACGAGAGAGACAGAGAAGGCAGGAGGCCCCGGCCCAGGGAACGGAGCCTCAATACCCCATGTGTGTCGCCCTCTGCTCTCTCCCTTCTTCCTCCCCATGCTCCGTGAGGAGGCAAGCAACCCGAAGCAGTTCTACCTGCCCCTCCGGCCCGACCCTCAGGCATCTTTGTGCCCCTGCATTTTCTTCCCCTGTCCCCCCCCCCCCTTCTCTCTCTCTCCTTCTTTCTTTTCCCTTCCCCCATCAATCTCTCCTTGCCGTGCAGTTAGCGGCGATGGCCCTCGTTTCCCCCTTTTCCCCCTTTTCCCCCTTTTCCCCCCTCTCCCACTCTTTCCCTCGTTCAAGATCATCTCATAGACAGTTCCGATCGATCTGCCTCGAAGAAACCCCGTTCTCTTTGCGTCTCTCCCTCCCTCTCTCCTCCTCCCCTCCTCCTTTCATTGTATGCAGCGCATCAATTTGCCCCTGTTTCCTTGCCACATTGGGGATGCGCTTGCATGTGTGCGTGTTTTTTTTGTCCCCCGACCACACCCAACGGAGACCCCCCCCCTGCCTAGAAGCTCACTTGTACATATCCAATACATCTGTGCATGCTCTTTCGGTCTGCTCTCCCATCCGTGTCCTGCCCAGCCGAAACCCACTCTATGCTGACCTAGTTCTCGTGCGTCAGCCTTCTCTCTTCTCCGCCTCCCTCCACTCCTTTTATGTTGTCCGAAGGGGGAATGTGAGGGTGCCGGTAAGAAAGGCAAAAAAAAAGGATCGTGCATGCCCCGGGAGAGGTGGGCGAGCCCGAGCGGCTCAAACTGAACGCCAGCTCTCCGGGTTGGGTATAGCTTTCACAACTAACGGGGCTTTGCATGGATGTGATACAAGTTAAGAGGTTTAAACTGGGAGCGAGAGTGTCGCCTGGATATCACGCGAGATATTCAGAATAGACGGGACCATTCCCAAGCACAGCGCTCCTCCAACGCTGATAGCTCCTTTGGCAGCCTCTCGTGTTTCTCCTCCGACTTGAGTCCACCCGACCCCTTCCGGGGGGAAGTCGCAGGGCCCTGAGTGTCCTTGTGAGGACAAGACAGTAACTGTTGAGGGAGCCATCGAGGAGGGGCAGCTGAGGGAGCAGGAACGGACAACGGCAGATGAGGTGAGGGCCAGGTGGAAAGACTGGCTGGATGGGGGCGGCGGGACAGGGAGGAGGGGGGCGGTGGAGGGGACATGGAAAGTGCGATCTAGTGGCTCCGTCCTCTTGTTCTTCTGATCGGCTTGCGCCTTATCGAGGCCAAAACGCTCCACCGCGGCCCCGGCGACGAGCGCCATCCCTCATCCATCTTCCTCCCTCCTTCCCCCTCCTCTCTTCTTGCTCCTTCCCTGAGCTTTTGCTCGTCGCTTCCCTCTCCCCCCGTTTCCTGGCCCTGTGCCCGCGCGTGTGTGCCATGTCCTACTACAACCGCCCCCCTCCGACATTCACCATGTCGGACATGCTGCCGGCCCTGCCGCACGCAGCTGATCCCTCGACCCAGTCGGCCGATCCTCCACCTCCTGAGCCGGAGCTCCCCACTGGCACTGTTGTTCTGCTGGAGTACATTGACCGTGCGCGAGCCTTGCCATCTCCCTCCCTCTCTCTCTCTCTCTCTCTCTCTCTCTCTCTTTCTCTCTTTCTCTCTTTCTCTCTTTCTCTCTTTCTCTCTTTCTCTCTTTCTCTTTTTCTCTCTCTCTCTCTCTCTCTCTCTCTCTCTCTCTCGCTCTCTCTCTCTCTCTCTCTCTCTCTCTCTCTCTCTCTCTCTCTTTCTCTCTTTCTCTCTTTCTCTCT